TGTGTTTGACCTGTTCGACTGTTCTTTATTCTGGTTAATGCATCATCATCTGAGGTCTAAAAGTAGATGTTCGGTGAGGCTAGTCAATTAGATTTGACCTTTCCGCTAGAGTCTGTGCAAGATTTGCTCAAGAAAATGGAGCGAGCGAACTTAGGGGAGACCCATACTATCACGGCAAAAGCATCCTGAAGAAATTCCCAAAAGTTGCAAGGTAGGCTTTGTTTCAATTTATATTTCATCAAATTCATTGGCCAAAACCTAATAAATCAAATGTAGATAACAGACAAGATGATAGAAAATACTTCTGAAGCTGATATTCTCTATCTAAAGTCTGTTTGAGCCAAATACTAGAGCCCTCAAAATTTCCAATTTCGCAATTTTTTGCAACTTGCCTCGGATATCTTCAACACTTATGGCCAGAATATAATTTTCCCCAAATAGATTTTATGATATTTAGAAACCTCAATATCTATGTAAGCTCTGCTGCTAGTTTGTTTTTTTTTTGGGAAAGAGTACTTTCGGAGAAATTACGAATATGGTCGTGCTTGTTTTTCCTGCTCGTCAAAATGGCTGACAGGCAACATCGTTGGACTAGCATTGTCTTCTTGAATAAAAACCCAAAATACTTTAACGGCAAACTTTATAAGCGGGGAGAATGGCTCTACCATCTTTATGAATTTCATTTGAATTGGTTCACATTCCCCCTGAGAACCAGACTTGTTTATTTTTACTTCTGAGGAGTGAATTTTTTGGTCAAAACATAAACCTCGGGCCGACGTGATCAACTGCGGTTACCATGGCAACGACACACCTGCCGATCCAAATATGGCTGTTTTTGTTCATCCCCTCAGGTAACCTACCTCCACACAAAATCTGAAGGGGGGTTAAAAATTTTCATTTCCACCTTTGCTTCACTTTCCTGAAGAATTGCTGTTAAAATGTGCCATGCTACGACCGTTTTGTTGAAGAAGCCTACTGCTGAACATAAGATCTTTGCCAACTTTTGTCCAGTCTCTAATCTTAAATATGTCTCCAAAGTTATTAAAAAGAGGGGTTGCTTTATAGCTTAATTATTATCTGGCCTGCAACAATCTACATGTGCCCCAGTCCGCATATAGGGGTTGTCAGCACAGAGTCAGTTTTAATGAGGGTGTATAATTACATTATGATATCACTGGACACTGACGGAAACAGTGTAATACTGGTTCTTTTGGATCTATTAGCAGCTTTTGACACTGTTAACCGTGACTTACTTATGTCTAGGCTTGAGAGGCGTTGTGGAATTACCGGCACCGTTGTTAACTGGTTCAAGTCCTATCTTTGTAGTCTTACACAATTTGTCAGCACCAATCAATCTCATTCAACGAAACGTGACTTGCTTGTCGGAGTACCACCGGACTCTATTCTAGGACCCTTACTTTATTTGTTGTATACTGCTCCTATTTCTGATGTCATCGCCAGCCACCATCTTAATTACCACCTTTATGCGGATGATACTCAACTTTACCTGGCCTTCGAAACAGATGATGTGAATTTAGCTGTTGATCGCGTTGTTAACTGTGTCCGAGATAAGTTGCCGGATGGAACAGAATGATTTGAAGCTGAACCCGGAGAAGACGGATATTTTGTTGATTTATTCGTGGTTTCGTGTGAAGCCTGCACTTGATTATCTGCAATTTATTAGAGATGAATGAATCTCCATCTCTGACAAAGTACATTCTTGACACGGCACAAGACCTTTGAGGACCACATTAATCATATATGTAAGTCTTTGATCAACCACTTTGTTGTATCACTGGTGCAAGGAAACATGACCGTAATTATTACTTTTACTCTAAGAAACTTAAAAACTAAAACAAAAAAAAAACACTAGCGAAATACGTAAAAAACTGGAATCTAAAAAAATGTTTCAAATATGATAGAGAGTTACTCTTAATAAACTTAGTCAAAAGGAAGGTCTTGAGTTTTTTTTTAAATAATAAAATTGTACTGGATCGGCGTATTTCCAAAGGAACAGTGCTCCAAATCTTCGTAGCGTATACAGAAAAAGCTCTTTCACCATATGCTTTGGTTTTACATGTTGGCTGCATTAGCGGGTCTTGAAAGTTGGAGCGAGGAGACCTAGTGTTCCAGGAGTTCTGTTTTAGATATTGTGAGCAGAGACAATTCTATGATTTGTAGACAAAAAGAATACGCTTAGACACGATCCAATGTGAGACAAGTAATCAATGAAGTTGTACTAAGGCAGGATTGTATTTTTTAGGGATAGTTTTGTTAAGTGCCTCGGGGAAATAATGGATGTGTACGCTATATAAATGAACTGTTATCATTATCGTTATCGTTATTGTTATTATTATTATCTCGTTTTTGCTTGTCTTTCAGTGTATACACCAAATATTTGTCACCGCTTACGTCTGTAGCAAGTTTGACCTCACCCCAGCACAAATCCCTGTGTTCCTGACAGGCACCCATTCCAAAATGAATGATGTTGTTCAGCCAAACAGTGTTTAACAATGATTCCGCCGAGGAAACTCCAGGCAAATTATTTTCGTATAGTAGGTTGATTTCCTCGTCCGTCAGCGCCACAGCAGCATCTTGTTTCCGCGGCCTGCTTTTTTCAGCGCTTTTTGTTTTGACTGAAGACTTTTCCTCTTCAATTCAAATTATTTGTGGTGATGATACTCACTTTTTTTCAAATGCCTTTCAATGCTGGAGACGAGGCATCGTAAACTTGTGGGTTCATAATCTTCTCCATCTTTACGTCTAACAGAGCGAATAAACTCTGCAAGGCACTTGTTCAATTCTGCTGGCGCAATCATGTGTACTTCTCTCTCTTTGTTCTTTTCCATTCTCAAAACTTCTTCGAACTGTTGCACATGTGGCTTAGTTTTTTCTCCCGTGTTTCTGTTCTCCATACTTTCAACATATTCCTCTACCGAAGCTATATACGCGACAAATCTTTTCTGATCTCTCTCATTTTTTCAAAGAAATTCGTCTCTGAAAAAAGTCCGTAGAGCCAATTTGTATAATTTTGCGAACGGTTTGACAAGTGAAACGCTACCAGTCGGGCATGAATGAGAATCGCCGCGATACAGCTCACACGTGAAGAAACATGATACGCGGCTCCTGATTGGACGTATCGTTTCCTCCACACGTGAAAAAAAGCGGTACGCGACATTTCATTGGCTTTCCGCTACTTAGACTGGCTTGTGAATTAGAATTTATTTCGCGCCTTTTCAGTGAGTAAGTCTCAGTATGTATATAATAAATGTTTATTTTCAGCTCGCTTGTGAATGTGAAAGTCGTAAGTGGACCTTCTCGTTTTAGCTTACGAGAATACAATCCTGTAAGCGACCGCCCACTGAACAGGTGAGTTGGTCGCTAACAACATTGCAAAAGAATCAGGAATAAGGCGGCCGGATAGAACGGTATTCAGATCTATTTGTCATTATAAACTCTACCTATGGGCATGTATATAGTACAGTGTGTACGTACATTTTACGCGGATTGTCGCGGATAGTCTCACCGCACGGTCGCTGCCGCTCACGGAAATGGCCGCTAACAGGTATATATTTTAACAGGGAAAATGGACGGGCTTTTATGAGGGTGATTACTGAAGGAAATTGATCGCTTATGTTACAGGTGAGACAGGATCAGGAAAAAGCAGCCTGGTGAATCTCATTCTGGGAGAGGAACTTCTTCCATATTCTGTACTCAGTACAACGTCCACCATATGCGAACTGAAGTATGGAGAGCAACGCAAAATTGTAGCCCACTTTAAGGACAAGGATCCTGACACAGGGCTTCCAACTATGGAGTGCCCTTTAAAGACTGCGTCGTCTGAGCAGAGTTATCTTCAGCAGATCTCTCCTTATGTTCACGTAAAGAGTGATAGAGAAAAAGGTTCCGTTTACAAAAAGATTGAACTCTTTTGGCCCCATCAACTTTTGAAGGTATTTATTAGTGATGGGACGTTAAATTAGTCTTTTCCCGAAATTAATAAAAAAAAATAATCAAAAGGATGTCAAGGACGAGGAAAAGCAAGAAAGCACCACGAAAACCGTTTGCTCTGTTCTAACTATACTGTCACCACATCCTATTAGCGCCTGATTCATGCCATTTCCCTTCCCAGCAGAAGGCATTAAAACTATAAATCATCCAATTGAATGTTAAATAATAAATAAACATGCAAAAGAGTTAAATCATTCCAAGTTATCAAGTTCCACTCATTTTATTTGTGCAATCTCAAATGCTGATAGGCTTCGTTGAGTAACTGAAAAAAGAAAGCTCACCTTTCTATTCTATATATTTCAGAACGGCATAGTTATAATTGACAGTCCAGGTATTGGTGAGTCTGACATCATGGACGAAATAGTCAAACAGTATTTGCCTCAAGCTTTTGCCTTCATTTATGTCATCAACACTGCAAACGCTGGAGGAGTTCAGAAAGACAGAGTGAGCATTGAAATTACTTCGTATTTGCGGCAATGCTATGAATATGGAGGCACTTTCCATTCGATGAAAAGTCCCGGGTGAACTTTCGATTGTTTCCGTGGAAACATCTTTTGCCCTAAAAGATATGGCCTTTTTCGGGGACTTGCCATCTGATAGGGTATGCCCGAATCTGTCCTAAACGGGGTTGGTTGCGCAGTTGTTGTCGTTAAATAAGCTTGAAATCTGGCAGGTCTTCAGTCTGAACATCAAAAAACTCTTGTACGGTTGTCAATATTTGGACTCTACCCCATTCATTGTCTTAAACAGGGTTCTAAAATAGGTTATAGATTGTTGTCATGTATAGGCAGCACAACATGTGTAGCTATAAATACTGATACGCTAAAAATCATACCTCAGAAAGGTTTTCTTTTCCCAAACTTTGCCAGGGCTTCAAAATCCCCAGCGGCACCTTTATACCAAAACAAGAGTTGAGTAATCCCCGAGGATTCTTTTGATCAAAATGGAGATGCATGTTCAAATGATGACTTATTGCTTTGGATTTTCAGCTTGAAAAGCTGCTAGAAGACGTGAGAAAAGTGACGCTTGAAGGACAGGGAGGATTCACTCCCCAGTGTGCCATGTTTGTGTGCAATAAGTGGGACCAAATACCTGAGAAAGAAGCTAGAGAGGTCAAGAGTCATGTCATCAAGAAGCTGAAGAACTGTTGGCCTGGTCTTGTTCCCGAGTCTCAGATCATCCACATGTCAACGACGAACGCTAGTATCGCTCAGAACCACGGAATAATCACCGAAGACTTCTTCGCTCTTATGAATTGTTTGAAGTGTATGGTCTTAAAAAGCATTAACACCAAGCTTGAAATGTATTGGAAGTAAGTGGTTGTGTTTGCCTACATTTGTTTTTGCTATGGACGACAAAATCCGTATGTTTGAGAAAAATTAGGTATAACTGATCAACACGCGTGAACAGTGAGACCTTTTCTATAGTGAGCTTTGAAAATTATAAAAAAAGCTACGTTGTTTCTATTTACCTGTTGACGAGCTGAAACAACTGTGTAATTGCGAAATTTTAAGTGCACGTAATATACTCACTGAAAGTATTATTAATACAAACCAAAGTAGATATAAAAAAAAATTGGTCCAGTTGCGACAGACAAAAAAGGCTTCAGGTAAAACTTTTGAAATATTTAAACATAACGGCATTATAAGGAAATAAAAATAAAAATAAATGAACAATAACCAAAGTAAGAACCTCAAGTTCGGTAAATAGCTGAGTAGAACTTAAGAATCCAGAGTAAAGTAGTCGGACATACTAAAACTGAGTTTTCATTCATCTTTTCGGACCGGGCAAGTTTGGTCAGTAACCTTGGTGTGTATTTTTTAAGGTGGCTGGACTGTTTTCTCTCGCGAATTATTTTCCAAGGAAAGGCTTTCGTGTTGAATGCTTCCGGAGACCATGTTAAAGCAGAGCAGAAGATACTCTCGATTCTTCACCGTTTGAATAAGATTAAAAGTCAACAAGGTCAAGTGATGGAAGAGCTTCAAAAACATATGACGACTCAAGTCGACGTTGCCGTAAAGACACTTTCTGAATACCTCAAATCAGACGATGTCAGAGCTCGCTTCACTTCATGGACCTTAGACGAAGTTCCAAAGGCAGAAAACTCCTGGGAAGTGACAAGAAACAGCACCCTGAATGCGTTGCGATCCCGTCTGAAAGATATCTTAGATCAATGGGAGGAAGATAACCAAATGTTTGCAAATGCCCGTAAGTCCCTTGTACAGCTCTTTCAGCGGCGGTTCAATTTTGTGGAAGGGGAACTCCGAAATCTCCAAGGAGCTGCTACAGCTGACGAGCTTAATATTCCAGATAATGATCCCGAAGATGACGATCTAATGCTTACAACAGGTGACAAGATTATCATCGGTGTCGCTAGTCCAATCTGGGTTCCACTTGGCCTAGTTGCGTTGGTGATTGGTGTTCCTGTGGTCGGCGTGCTGGCGATTAAAAACAAGGTGGAAGATAAAAATAGAATCAAGAAATACGAAAGACACAAATGTGCTTTTATGGCCGAAATGTCCGCATACTATCTAGATGATGTTACAAACGAAAGTAAGATAAGGGATTTCGTGGTGGAACAACTGGAAGAGGCTCAGTTGTGTCTGAAGCAAATTGAAGCTCGCATTCCAGAGCTCATCGAAGCTGATGAGCTGTTATATAATCAACTCCGTGATGAAAGACGCTCATCAAAAGAAATACAAGACCTCTACCAACCATCAGTGGATACGGCGTCTTCTATCAGAGGACATCTTGCAGTATTTGGATTAAAGGAAATCCATGCCCTTGATATCAGCAGCGAGGAGTTAGATTGGAAAGAAGACATGTCCCCCCGTCTTTGGAGTGGTGCGTTTGCCACTGTGTACCAAGGAAAGCTGAAAAGACATGGAGTGGAGGAAACGTTAACTGTGGCATTGACAGTTTACAATGAAGTACTTGATACCATAAATGCAAATCAAATCATGGCGAAAGTGGAACGGTTGAGGTGAGAAAGTTTTCATATATGTATTTTTCGTTTGCCGTTAAATCTCAAACACAGGCAACAGAACACTTAAGAAACAAACATACAAACGAACAAATGTTGCAGATAGCTAAAATAGAAAGGAGTCGTGTCTTCAAACTGATAGGAAGTAGCCCAGCTGGATTTTCACAAAGCGGGGCCAATAAGCTGAAATCGGGATTACCGAGAGCTCAGTGATGCAGATAGTGGCGGGATGAATTATTTAAATCAAGAACCTCCAGATTTTAAACCAGCTTTCTCAAACTTATTAATAATTCATCGAGTTTAAACAAAGGAAATCATGGCTGTGACGGTGTTTGGATATCTGATCTTAATTTAGCATAGATTTTTACTATATTATTTCTCCGTTTTCTCCTTAGTTGTAGTTTCGATTAAAAAGACATATCAAATACTCAAGACAGTGTTTGACTACATTTCCAAAGACCTCGAAGTTCGTCAAAAATACTCCGCTAAGCGTCGTAATTTCAACTCTCTTTTCAGTGTTTGGAAATGTGGTCAAACACTGTCTTTCGTGTTTGATATATTAGGGAGTTTAAGAAAACCACAACGGCAACGGCAACGGGAACGTCGCTAAACAAAGGTTTAATGAGTAGAACAATGGCTGCGCACGTGTGTTATAATTCTTGGTACATTTCTCTGCCGTCCTCTGCAAAACAACAACGTGAAATGACCAAACTCTACGTTGTCTGGAAACCGTGAACGACGACGACTAATTTTTTAAATTTCTATTTCGAATTTAACGCTGTGTTCCATATCCAGTTTCGAGGAAGTTTTGACAGTGACAAACAAACTAAATGACTTCAGATTATCGCGAGATTCGCAAGTAAAATATAAGTTCAGTTTCTAATCGACGTTGTGCTCGGCGTCGCCGTCGTGGGTTCTTAAACTACTATTACCTCTAAGCAACTCCGCCACTCCCCCTACCTGTAAGACCCATGTATTATTATCAAAAAGCCTGAGAGCTAGCTGGGAACCCGAAATAACTTCTGCGGAGTTGAATAAGTTGGATACTCATTAGCTATTGCGTGTATACACAATTTAAATGTGGTTAAAAGGAAAATGAAATAATGGGGGCTTATCGTTCAGCAATAGGAAAAGCTGCTGAATTATCACGACACCCTTTGAGAAGTATAATACATAGATCTAGCCAAGACCAAAAGCGGAACTACTCGGCACAATAGCCTTTAAAGACTCACCAGTATAAGCATTTCACCAAATAACGGAATGAACTGAAGAAAAAACGGAGGAAATCTACATTAACACGCTTTGCATAATATCACTACATCTGAGTATCAAATAGCAAATCATGTCTCAACGAAGGATGGCCCAATGAAAGAAATGTTAAGGAAAATTTGTTAGAGATTGATTATCATTCAAGGTAAAGCCAAGAAATGCATTTAAAAGAACGTCCAAAGTTTGAAAGACTTTTGGTGTTCAAGGTTAATGATTATTCACGCTAAAGTGTAATTTAAATATTATTGTGCCGACGGCCTCTTCTTCTTCTTCTTCTTCTTCTTCTTCTTCTTCTTCTTCTCGAATTCCATTCCCTTATTGTGCGTGGGAAAAAAGAGTACTTGTGGTCATTTTATCGTCCGAAGCTTTACCAGTCTTCTACCAATAACCTGTAAAGAAATTCGCGAGCGAGCGTCAAATATAACGTCAAATAGAGCAAATACGTGTTCGCTTGACCTTTCTTGGTTTCCAACCGTAGCAGAAGAAGAATTTTAAGTCATCTACGAAGCGGCGGCTTCTGCTAATAGACTGGCAGTAGTTACAAATACAGTTTTACTATTTTTAGACGTGAGGTTATGAGCAAAAATATGCAGGGCTTGTAAAGTTTTCCTATTTGGAAACAATACTGTGACACATTTTTTAAATTTCATTTTTTATTTTCGCCTGTTTCTAAACACTTGAGCTGCTTTGCCGAAGGTGCTGTAAGCTGCATATTGTAAACAAAAAGTTTTCTATTGAAGAAATATCTCGCCGAAACAACTTGACAAACTTTATAGAAAATGAAGTGCAAGTTTCAAACAGTGGCAATTCACTTCAATGTGATTCTTCCAGGCAGAAAAATCCAGCAAAAGGTGTGAAAACTGAACTGAACTAATCTTTTCCATACATCAACGAATCGACCACTTTTAATTTTCCGCTGTGTTTACCGTTTGTAGTTTCTCTAAACACACGAAACGCGTTTGATTTCTCTTGTTGATGATGAATCATGCGACTTTTCTTGCACGGCTGCACATTTTGTGCGCCAATTTACTTGAGCAGTCCTGCAGTCTTCTGAGTAAATATTTTCAAGTATTTCAAAGGCAGCGGAGGAGGGAGGCAGGTGGGCTGTAACCCCCTCCCTCCCCCAAACGAACATTTGGGGCCCTCAGCCCCCTTCCTTTTCACGTTTCGATACCGAAAATATCGCTATTGCAGCATAAAACTGCTTCGACAAGATATTCCGTTTCGTAATTTTACAAATCGTTTTACCAACGCAGAAGACATTAAATTTGGAAAATACGAGTGGAGGTATACGTTTGGCTAAACCCCCTCCTNCCCCCCCCGTACCACCTCAATGTTTCGCAGCGCTCCGGTGCCTCTGTATTTTATCCCACTGCTTTGCTATATTAGCTGGTGTGTGGCCACCATGTTGCGTGGCGTGGTCGTCCAAGGGCGCACGCGTCCGCAATCCATGCTGCCAGCCATGTTGACCATGAAAAAAGAGTTGCATGAATTTCTATTTCTATGCATACATGCGGTTCTGTTGCTACGGTTATGGTGCTCGGTTTGGAGACCCTTTGGGCTGTCGGAACTACTCTATAGTTAGAACGAGCAGAAAAGAAATAAGCCGATGTAAAGAGGCAGCGAAGAAAATTCAAAAAACCAAAAAAATAATCTTTTTTCTCTGTCTCATTTTTACTTCTCCCTTTTCTTTTAACTTGTTCTTGCTGATTTTATATAATTACCATCTTCCTTCTGTTTATCAGAAAACTGGAGCATCCCCACATTGTAAAGTTTTATGGCACATCCCTTCTCAACAAAGAGGGCACCTCAAGAGTGATCCTGGTAATGGAAAAGTGCAAAGGAAACTTGAAGAGTCAGATCTTCGATCACCCAGAAGCAGCGCCAGCAAGGAATGCTGATGTCCATGGAGATGTATGTCGATGGGCTAAAGAGATCACTGATGCTCTTGCGTTCATACACAAACAGGGAATTATTCACAGAAACCTTACACTGGAGACCATCTTGGTATGGAACTAAGCTCTATACATGTACCATGATTATTTGCCTTCAGGTTATACAATTTTTGGAGACTACTCTCCTTAGCGAACCAGATAACTAATTAATAAGTATGGTAGCTAACGTTCAATTAGCACCGTTGCGAGTGTCGATACAAGGATGGAGAATTCAGGATTGCAACAAACTGGTCTATTTGATTTCTCGAATTACAGCACTAAGCTCATCACATTTACAAAACTCACTTTACAGACAAAACTTAAGCACATTTGTAATTATACCTAGGGAAAAAATTATACCTCGTCAAAAGAATTAAATTTAGCAGTGTACTAATAATTCGAAAACGATCTTTAAAAGTAGTTTTTTTGAAAAACATTTCAGAA